TATTGATTGGATCTATTACACTGAACAACATAAATTAATATAATATTTACCTTAAAATTCTCTGTTAAGTTTTAGGTGTGCATGAAGTGTCTGCAAAAATAGAAATGGGTTTTTCCAGGTTAGTCATGTGACCGTATAGGCTTGATATGAAGCAATGGGTAACATGCTTACTTGTGTCGCAGTCTTTTCCTGTCCAACCGGGATGACAAGGTTTCTTTGTGAGTGCAATCAAGCGTGACATGATGAAATCAGTCATGCAGTGACTTAGAACTGCTGTAAAGTTACTGTAGTGTATTCATTGTTCTAGCTGATATCAATCCAAGTCAAACTTATATTCAGGTTGTAGTTAAAAATAGGCTCCCAGTGGGAGCATGTGTCTACTGCCTTATACAGGAGTTTTTATTTTTGAATTTAATCTTACTTTCTTCAATATGCAGATGTGTTTGTCATTGTAGTGTATCTGAATTTTTCGTGAAAATTGTCTTTCATAACAATATTCTGTATACTACTAGGCCCACTGTATTATTGCACTAAAGACAGAGGCCCACTGTATGATATTGCACTAAAAACACTAAAAAAGATTAACTCTTGGAATCACCGCGTTATGTCATTGATCTCGAAAAGTACTACCATATTCTAGAAGGCGTCCTTTAAATGATGGTTAAAGGCGTTTGTGGCGAACGCGTGCTGCGTCCCTGTAATGCATGTTCGAGTTTGAATGCAATTATGTTTGAATTCCAAACGCTATTCAATTTTCAGTAGAGCGCCCTCCACCTGGTGGTAGTAGTACCCATCATTCCTCCACTGGATTTACCCTTTTCTGCCATCTTTAATTGCTACATCATGACATAGTGTCTATGGCCCCCGATGGGGGCACTTGGACATAAAAACAATTCTATTTATGTTTACAAATATGTAAAAAATGAAAAACAAAAATCAATGATCAATCAACCAACAATTTAAACTTTTGATTTGGTTAAATTTACATATGTATAAAGACTAAACAATTAAAATTATATAAAAGGCAGAATAAAAATGTGTATAAAGACAATTAATAATTAATGAAAAAAATTAAGTAATATAAAAATAATTATAAAAATCAAAATTTAAAGGTAATTCAAAATTGAGGGATTTCACTGTTCCCTGAAACAAATAATAACAATAAAATAATAATTCAATAAATGGATCCTCATCCATGCAATTAAAAACCCTTTATTACTTACAGTGCACAGAACTGAAAATGGAGAAATTGAAGATGTCAAACATTTTTTACTAAATTGTCCCACTTACAATATCATTAGAAAACAATATTTAACAAATCTTGAAAATGACCTACTCTGTAACGATTATGATACAAGGACACTTTTTTCAACAACAAATGATGATATTAAAATTAAATTATTTAAATTATTCAGTCTTCTAATATTTGTGATACCTCTATTTTTTATAATTTCTGTAAAAATACATCATGAATGCTTGGGAGAAACGCTCACAACTAAAAAATTCACAACAATAGTATAAATGTATTGTTGCTTATCAAATTGTGTAATGTTAATGTTTTTTTTTTCTTTTACACCAAAAATGGATTCATCGTAGTCAGTATTTCTTAAGTAGTCCTGTGGTATAATCTTTTTTTTGTAAGACGTTTTAATCTTTAGATTTTATATTTTTAGGTTAGTTATTTACATTACAGTAGACCTGTATTTCTGAGTATGAAATGGGATTTTTTTATCTCATTAAATTTGATCCACTTCATCTGTTGGTGTTGTGCAAGTCCCAGCCATCCCATTGGCATTGTGAAGCATCATTTTAATATACATAGCAGGCAATTAGCATGGGGAAATGTTTAATGTTTTTCGGATAAAATTCCACACTATTATAAATGATGTGATGAAGAGGCCTAGCAAACTTACAGAGAGTAGTGATACGCAAAAAAAATGTGAAGGTCTAGACATGTGTATTAATAACATACAGCACAGACACCATGTGTATGTGAACATTGTGGAAAAAAGTTCAATATGAATAACACTTTAAAAAACATTTAAGGATACATATCAGAAGAGAGACAATTATAAATGCGACATTTGTGGAAAGAAAATTTAGGAACAGTTTAGCACTTTGAAAGTACTTTACATTTGAGAGTGTGCATACAGGAGGGAAGCCATACATAATGTTAAGAATTCTGTAGGTAAAATGATTATCTGAAAAGATATTTGATATCATATTTTTAACAATGTGGAAGAATTTAAAAAGAATGTTTATGCAATTAAAAGAACACTTGTGTACATAACAAACATAAATTGAAAGAAACATGAATCTAATTAATTTTAAGTTATGCTGTAGTACTGTACCTAACAATTTTAAAAGACAGCTAAGAAAATATAAGGGATGATTTTGCATTGGTAAGAAGAATTTAAAGACGTATAATTTGATCTTTTTCTATCCTTGATAAAATCTTTTGAGAAATAGATAATTTTATTAAATTTATCATAGTATTGTGTAGACTGGGTTCCAGTCCCTAATCTTTCTCTTAATCATTTGAAATGCTTAAGAATAAATCGAATTTGGCACAATTGGCGTTCCATATTACTTATTTGCATGGCGTTCCATAGTATACTTTACAATTCTCATCAAAAAAGTTTCCTAACATAAACTGACGCTGGTGGCGCTTTCCGAAATGCGCTAATACTACGAAAAACTTATCCATAAATTAGAGACTTGTGGCAAGTCTAAGTATTGTGCTGTGTTTTAGTGCAAAGTAAACTTGGTTTCCATTCCAAACTGGGTAGTTAAAACAGGTAAACAGGTACAGTACTTGTTTTAGTAAAATTAGGTGTAATTGTATCCGCAACTGAAGAAGAAAAAAATAGCTGATAGTAGTTTTTTTGGTGCTTGATGTTGGTCATTTACTATACAGTATTTATTTAATTCACTCAATAAAACTGAGTTATCATCAATTGGAATATCTGTCAGTTAATTTACCAGTGTTGATGAAAATTTTGAAGAAAAAAGTCAGTGATTTAAAAAAATATGTAGGATGTTGCTGTACATACAAGAGAGATGTCATGTGAATGTGAATTGAGGTTTAATCAAATTGGGATACACACGGAAGAGACATTATTCTGAATGTGTGTGTGTTTTTTTTTTTTTTGTTTTTTTTTTTAATATGTTGAAATGCATGCATCAATTTTGAGATCACATTTGATAAAAGAAAGGGAGATATGTGAATTTTACGGGGAATTTTCTTATCATTTTTTGTATCGTCTGCAAGTCAAGACTGTTTTATGCACAAGTGCAGATGCTTTATTTCTAGGTTTTTATAAAACGATACCACTTTTCATTTACATCAGTTGTTTACATCAACGTGAAGGGATTATTGCATGCATTAACCAATGCAATTTAACAAAAGATGCACATCTCCACACGCGAACACTGTACATTTTTGATACATAAAACGATACAAGTTGCGAGTACAGCCGTTGGTTATTAGTCTGTGTGTCATACATTTTGATGGTGTTACTATTTTATTATTATTTTTTTCGCATTGTCTGTTACACCTGATTTGTTTTGACCACGAACCTTTTAAGTGCTTCTCTATAAACTTCAATTTGATTCGTGAAAATTGACCAACAAAATTAAAAGTTAAAGCAAATGAAAATTTACTTCTTTTTTTGCATTTCAACAATGTTGTGACAAATGGAAAATTTTCGAGTAGATACAGAAAATGTATGTTTTCTGCGGCGAACGTGTGTCTCATTAACCACTGGACACCACCTCATCTATACTAAATAATTGTTGAAATAAGGAATATAATTGCAGTATGATGTTAGTGCAAAAAGTCATTTTGCGCGATTCTCATGTCAACTGACATGCATGTGAAGATGCCAAGTTCAGTACAGTACAATTTCCCACTCATATATACTTTTCCAGTCAAGACAGCCCATTTTTCCACTTCTTAATTCATCTTAATCATCTGAGCGCATTAACAACGTTTTATACCTCATCCACCTCTACAGTACTTTCAACCATGAGAAATTAAAAAGAACATTTTACAATGAAAACAAAAAAAAGTGCCAGTAAAATCGGAACTTTAGTATCCCGGAATCGTGGGAGCGGCTTTGAAAGAAAGGTCTCTCAAATATATTTTATGTAATTTACGTTTTTTTCTCAATTGTTTTCTGGGGTGGATGCAGGATTTAGCGATTGGGGTGCGTGCAAGGGCGCAGATTTGTTTTTCAAGGTGGGGGGGGGGGGGAATTTCGTGGAAATAGTACATGTAGATGGCCGGAAATGACACTTACGGTATATAGTAAATTTCATCATCACCACATCAATTTATATTCAAATGAAGCGCCAACAAATTCTCACGATCTTTTATCATCGATTTTCGGCAACCACAGAGAACTAATTAATGGGTGTGATGTACCATATTAAAATAGAATTTAAACATTGTCTTATTTTATGTATTTATTTTACCTACTTCAAAGCTGTGAGTCCACAATGGAGTCCAGAAAAGGAGGTGAGAAATTCGGAGGAAATAGTACCTTTAGATGACCGGAAATGACACTTTTAGGCCTATAAATTAAAATTCATCATCACGTCACCAATATAGTCTATATGAAGCACCAGAAATTTCTCATGATCTTTTATCAGGGATTTTCGGCAACCACCGAAATTTAATTAATACGAGTAATGTATCATAGAAAATAAAACTACATCTCAGCCCCACCATTTGGCGTGGAGGTGGTAACATTTGGGGAACTACAAATAGTTTCTCTAGATGCCGGATATGACACTCAGTCTTATATAGTAAAATTCATCATTATCGATCTAATTCATATCATTGATCGAGTTCCAAGTCCACATATCAAGCACCCTGAGCATCTTACATTAGATGGATGTGCGCTATATAAAACTACATTATTATTATTATTATTATTATTATTATTATTATTATTATTATTATTATTATTATTATTATTATTATTATTAATTAATCACTGTTATCTCCCCTATTAAAACTTATCTTTAAAGTATTTACTTTACTTTTTTTATGTGCCGAAAGCCAATCTTATATTTTCTCGTTTTTCTCATCTCATATTATAATAAAGGCATGCTCACTCGAGTAGCGTATTATAGGTAATTCAGGTGTTTGTGGGCAGATACCGGTATGTTGCTATAAAATGAGATGTACTCTGGCTGTACGGCGCTCTTTCCTTACAACTAGGGTCATTTATGTAGCTTTTTCCAACAATTTTCAGGCATCTTCTTGACTTATGAAATTGCATTGCAGACGAAAAGCGAGGGAGACCCCTTAAATATATGTGGGGGATGTGCGAAAGTTGTGAGAATATAGACCTCTCTGGGTGCCCGTAAAATTGCACTCTCATACCTTAAAAATCTTGCCAATAATTAATGTAAACAATATAATACAACAATTATTTTTTTCAAAACAATTAAGGGGTGCGACAGCATTTTACGTAAATCCCCATCTATTAGTTATGAACCCCATAAAGATGTATTTAGTGGATATGTACACGGAGGGCCTACGGCCTACCTGACTTTCTGTTAGTCTTTTAATCTTGCACACGTTACTCTTATCTTCAAAAGGATTAACAGAAAATATGGAAGGATATGAATTATAGGGGCGTCGGCAGGCATTCTTATTCAATGTGGGTGTGTGTGTAGCATAGGAAGGGTGCAGGGTGCCGCCAAGGCCAGGGCTGGCGGAACGTTTTTTGATTTTGATTTCTAGATGGCGGGAATTGAGCTTTCCCGACATTTGAAGTGTGTTTTAATGAATTTTATGTTCTTCAAAATTCGAATTTTCTAATAG